AGAAGTGAGTCTAATTTTGCCTTTAGAAGTGAGTCTAATTTTGCCTTAATCATTTTTTAAAATCTAATTTTAAAATGAGTTACATCTACAGCTAGTCCCTTGACCTGCGGCCGTAATGGACTCTGCCCATCACGGTCGTAAGTTGCAACGGTCATACAACGTGTCATAAAATGATTTTGCAAACCTTTTTGGTGTCTTTTGAAGCGTCCCTAAATGAAACGCTGGAAGTCTAGGCCCGCCTGTACTACAATCCGGAACTGTTCTTTATTTATTTCGGTACCATTAACTTCCTTCTGCCTCGATGCCAGGGATCTCCCTCGAAAACTTCACCCACTGCAAGGAGCTTCTGATCCCGCCGGGAACACAAAATTACGTGGTGCGGATGAGGCTGTACGACAACAACAGGCGTCTCTTGAACCTCACTATCCGGATTGTGTGCCAAGCCAAAGGCGCCTTGAAGATATTCATCTCGGCTCCTTACTGGCTCATCAACAAAACAGGTGAATTCGGCTCAAACCTCCAAGTCCCTTCACACACACACACACACACACACACACCAAAAATTCTTAATTTTGTGGAACTCGAGAAATGGCTGGATGTGGAAACAGGATTACGTTGCATTTTCTCTTCTCTTGGAGCAGAACGAGGAGGACAGGTGGGGAGGGGGAAATATTTACAGATTTTTACCGATGAACCGAGTTGGAAGGGACCTCGGAGGTCTTCTAGTCCAGCCCCCTGTTCAGCCAGGAAGCCTTATTACACCATTTCAAACATGCGCTTGTTTTAATTTCTTTTTTAAAGTTCACAACTTCTGGAGCCAAGTTTGTTCCCCTGATTAAATTGTCACCAAATTCCCCCGTAATTCCAGGTTGAATTCTCTCCTTGATGAATTTCCGTCCGTCGCTTCTTTCTGGTGCTTTGGAAAATAAGTGGAAGCCTCCCCCCCCCCCCCCTTTTTTGGGGCGGCCCCTCCAATATTGAAACAGCGCTATCGTGTCACTCCCCCTGCTCCTCCTCCTCCTCCTCATGAAACTCCCCAATTCCAGCTGTTTGAATATTATCTCTTACTTGCACCCAAAGGGTTGCCCTTAATCTTCCGGCAAGAAAACGCAAAGACCGACGCGGCCGGCCAGTTTGAAGAACACGAGTTGGCCCGTAGCCTGAGCCCCCTCCTCTTCTGCTACGCCGACAAAGAGCAGCCAAACCTGTGAGCTTCTTTGTGACTCTGTGTGTGTGTGTGTCGGGGTGTGTCGGGGTGTGTGGGGGTGTCTCTTCCGTTGTTACGACTCGATCCTCTCTGCGAGAGGAAGGCAATGGTGGGACAAACGAGGTTATACCTGCTAGCAAATTCACAGCTCGCGTCGTAATACCTGAGAGTTGAGAACTTCATTTAGTCTGATTTTCTTTTCTTCTTAATGCAGTTGTACCATGAGAGTTGGCAGAGGTATCCACCCCGAGGGGATGCCCGGCTGGTGCCAGGCCTTCTCCTTGGACGGAGGAAGCGGCGTCCGAGCCCTTAAAGTGATTCAGCAAGGAAACCGACCGGGTCTTATTTATAATATCGGTAGGGTCTTTCTCTGTTTTCCTTCTTGCAACTCAGCTGGGATTTTATTTTTATATCTAATTATTCTTTTCGGTTGGAGGGTCATGGTTTTTTTTTTTAAAAAAGTTTCTTTTTAAGTTTTTATAGTTAGCCACTCAGAGCCTTTGGGGTAAGGGGAGCAACATATAGGAGAGTATTTATAGCTCAGGGCTGAAATGAGAGATTCTTGGTAGTTTCCTTGGTTTTATTACCAAACTAGGTAACAACATCAGTGCTAGAAGGGAAGGGGCTTTGCAGGGAGGAGGAGAAGAAGGAGGAAGACTATGGGGTCCTTGGTGCTCTCTGAGCTTGGTGATTTTCTTGCAGACGTTTCACGACCCAACTAGGGAATGTCTTGTGCTAGAAACCACTCTCTTCTAGCACTGATAACGTGGCCTAGTTGGGTCACAAAAGGTCCTCCAGAAAACCCACCAAGCTCAGAGTGCCTCAAGGACCGCCCTCCCCTCCAATAAATAAAAGTTAATTGTGCTAGATGCCCGAAGTCTGGCCCTCCTGTCCTGACCAGCTATGTGTTTTAACCAGGCATCGACATTAAGAAGGGCAGAGGTCGCTACATGGATACTTGCATGGTGACGTTCGCCCCTCGCTACCTGCTGGACAATAAATCCTCGCACACCCTCGCCTTTGCGCAGAGGGCATTCGCCAGAGGACAGGTAAAAGAAGAAAACAACCTCGCCCTTCGCTCCTCCTAGAACCCCTCAGGATTTCTCGGCCATTTGAAGGCGGGTGGACTTCAGCTCCCAGCATTCCCTGTTCCTGGATTGGTTGAGTTGAGCTGCCTGTGACTTTTCCTTCCCCTCCCCGCTAGGGGACATCCAATCCGGAGGGCTACCTCTCCACCCTCCCCGGTTCCAGCGTGGTCTTCCACTGGCCACGCAACGACTACGACCAGTTGCTGTGCGTCCGGCTGATGGACGTCCCCAACTGCATTTGGTCTGGAGGCTTTGAAGTCAACAAGAACAATTCCTTCCACATCAACATGAGGTGTGTGTCGTGTGTGTGTGTGTGCGCGCGCCCTGCCAGGTTGCAAATTTTCCAGGTTGCAAAAGACACAACAATATTTACACCGTTTGCCTTTGAAACCCTGCAGGGACACGCTCGGGAAGTGCTGCTTCCTCCAGGTGGAGATCACCTTGAAGAGAGCCACCTACTGCGTCTCGTTCAGCGACACCGACAAGTTCCCGCCTCCGTACCGCATCGACAACTTTTCTAAGGTTAAAAAAAAAAAAAAAATTGACGCTGGGTTGGGCTTCTGAAAATGAACAGCTTCGCTATTAATAAGATATATCAATGCCCAGAGATGGATAGATTAACGAAATGATTGAAGGACCATTCTTTGTATGTTTTAGTCTCCGGGCCTTCAATCCTTACTTACAGGTTGTTGGAAGGGACCTTGTAGGTCATCTAGTCCAACTCCCCCCACTCAAGCAGGAGACCCTACACCATTTCTGACAGATGGTAGTCCAGTCTCTTCTTGAAGGTCTCAAGTGATGAAGCTCCCACAACTTCTGAAGGCAACTTCTGTTCTGTCAATTGATTGTCCTCACTGTCAGAGAATTTCTCCTTATTTCCACGTTGAATCTCTCTTTGGTCAGTTTCCAACGGTTATTCCTTGTCTGACCTTCGGGTGCCTTGGAGAATAGCTTGACCCCCTTTCTCCTCTCTGTGGCAGCCTCTCAAATATTGGAAGGCTGCTCTCCTGTCTCCCCTGGTCCTTCTCTTCCCTAGACTAGCCAGGCCCGGTTCCTGCAACCGTTCATCGTATGTTATTTAGCCTCCAATCCCCTCATCATCCTGGTTGCTCTTCTCTGCCCTTTTTCTAGAGTCTCAAGACCTTTTTTTCTAGTGTGGTGACCAAAACTGGATGCAGTACTCTAGGTGTGGCCTTACTAAGGCTTTATAGAGTGGTATTAGTGCCTCCCTCGATCTGGATTGTATCCCTCTGTTAATGCAATTTAAGGATTGCGTTGGCTTTTTTGGCTGCTGCCGCACACGGCTGGCTCCTATTTAGCTGGTTGTCCACTGAGACTCCAAGATCCCTCTCCCAGTTCCTGCTATTGAGTCCTGTTTCCCCCAGTCTATCTGTGTCCTTTTGGTTTTTCTTGCCTAAGTGTAAGACTTGACTTTTCTCTACGTTAAACTTCATTTTGTCAGATAGGGCCGAGTGTTCCAGTCTTGTCAAGTTCCATCTGGATCTTGAGCCTATCATCCGGGGCCCTGACGGCGAACCTTCGTTGCTGTTCTCTCCGCCTTTCCTCCCAGGTCCCAGTCGTGTTCGCCCAGCACGGTGTGGCCGAGCCACGTCTCAGCACCGAAGTGAAACCCTCCACCTCTTTGGACTACGCCTGGGATGAGCCCACCCTCCCGCCTTACGTCACTCTGACCGTCAAAGGAGCTGGCTCGTCCGAAGTCACCTGCTGCATGAACGACTTTCAAGAAAGCAAGCAGCTGTATTACGAAAACTTCATCTACATCGCGGCCACGTACACCTTTTCGGGGTAAAAACACGTAAAAAGGTTCAATCCCTTAGTAAAACCCCTCCAACTAACCGCTGCGGTCACAGTGACAATTTTTTGCTTAGGCACAAAGTCAGAGCCGTCCAGTCTCTGCTTAAAAGCACCTGCTGTTCTGTCCCACCAATTCATAGTTCTCACTCGCGGGGAATTTCTCCTTAATTCCAGGTTTCTTCCCTCCTCAATTATCCCAAAAGTGTTTTTTTTTTTTTCCAAAAGGCAACTGGACTTCCTGGTTTTTCAAAAGACATTTTGCTTCTCATCCAAGAAGCTTCCTCGGTTCTTGACTGGATGGTGGGGAAGGGAAGGATTCCCATTCCTCTCCTTGATGAGTTTCCATCCATTCTTCGTTGTCCTGCTTTGCGGTGCTTTGGAGAATAGCTTGACTGGGGCAGCCCCTCAGATATTGGAAGGCTGCCGTCACGTCGCCCCTACGCCTCCTTTTCATTCAACGATCCCCGATTCCAGCAATATTCACGATGTCCAAGCCAGCTTTTTCCACCCCGATTTTCAATCAAGCTAAAATCGGTGATTTTCCTCTGGACTCGGTCTTACCCTTCCTCCTCAATTTCCTTCGAAATCCTAGGGTCCAGGAAGAGACCGGAAGGCCTGTTGCTACCTACAAGGATCTGGACTGCGCGGAGCTGGTTCTGGATGTTTCTCCCAAGACGCAGAGAGTCATCCTAAAGAAAAAGGTAGGAAACTTCACCGGGTTGAACCAGGAGAAGTCCTTTCACTAGGACGGCCTCTGTTACCTGCTCGCCAGCATGATTCTGCGGTCAAGCGAGAATTGGTAAGTTGGTCACTGCCTCCTGTCTGTACTGTGTACTCCCACATGCGCTGTCCCTGATGACGTTCCCTAGTTGGGTCATGGAAACGTCTGCAAGCAAACCAGCATGGTCAGGGAGCCCCCAAGGATCCCACAGTCCTCCTCCTCCTCCTCCTCCTCTCAAGAAACATCTGCAAGCAAACAACCAAATTCAGAATGCGCCAAGGACCCCACAAGCCACTCCCTCCTCCTCTTCCTCCTCCTCTCTTCAAACCTCCCTCCCTTCTAGCCCTGATGAGGTTCCCTAGTTGGGTCCTGGAAACGTCTGCGAGCAAGCCACTCAGCTCAGGGAGCCCCCGAGACTCTGTCTCGAAGAGGCTAAAACTGACGTGCAGCCTCTCGGTTTCATTCAGCCTCCCCCCACACACACTTTTTCCGCCCCTTCGCAGGAACCTGGGAAACGCTCTCAGCTGTGGAGAATGACAGGGACCGGCATGCTGTGCCACGAAGGCTCGGCCGTCCCCCGTCCCCCGAATAAACCTTCCCCGCCTCGCTCGGCCGAGTCCTCCATGATTCTGGACATCGCTGGGTTGGCCGCTGTGACGGACAACAGGTGGGCGAAGCTCACGGTTTTCTCTCCATCTCGGACGCTCGGTTGGAGCGTCCTGTACAGGTAGCTGGGCCCGAATTTTCCGTTGCTAAGCGCGGCGGTTGCTAAGGGATTAGAAGACCGTCCCTTCCGGCTCTGTTCTGATGGATGGATGGATGGATTGACTAATCCATTGAAATGGTCTAGAATCTCCGGCTTCCGCAGGGGGCCAGACTAGAAGACCTCCGCAGCCCCCTTCCGCCTCTGTTCTGACCGACGGACGTTGTTCCTGCTGCCCTAGATACGAGCCCCTGATGCTGAGGAAACCAGACCGGCGGAGAAGCACGACTCAAACCTGGAGCTTCCGAGATGGGAAACTTCTGTGCGGCCTGCAGGGACTCGCGGTGCAGGTAGGCGAGGGGTCTGTCGGAACCGGGGTAGGGTCTCCTGCTTGGGCAGGGCAGGGGTTGGACTAGATGACCTACAAGGTCCCTTCCAACTCCGTCGATCTGTGTCTGTTTAAGGGGTGTTGCCTGGGTTTCCTGTTTGTCTTCTTCTTCCTCTGGTCATCTTGTCTTCTCCTTAGGCCAAAGGAGGCAGAGCCGGGCTTCGGGACGGGGCGGAAGTAGTTCTCGGACCTGACACCTCCCTTGAACAGTTGAGTCCGGTCCCGTCAGAGCAGCGATTCATCAACCAGAAGATGCGGCCTGGTTCTGGAGCCCTGGCGGTCCAGGTTATTCCGGATGGCCCGACCAGAGTGCTCCAGGTAACGGCCTGTGCTTTTATTGATTTGTTCTTTTTAATTTGATCTGAGCCTCCGAAACAGAGTGATAAATCCCCCACCTCCAAGTGCTCGTTTGTCTTCAATAGTTTTAAGTGCAAAAGCACCTCCCAAGATCCAGAGAGAGAGAGAGAGAGAGAGAAAGAGAGAGAAAAAGGGGGGGGGGGGGGAGAGAAAGAGAGGAGGAGGAAAGAGCATGAGAGAGAGAGAGAGGAGAAAGAGAGGAGATAGAAAGAAAGAGGGGAAAAGAGAGAAAGAGAGGAGAAAGAGGAGAGAGAAAAAGAGGGGGAAAGAGAGAGAGAGAAAAGAAAGAGGAGAGAGAATGAGAGGAGAGAGGGAAAGGGGGGAAGGGAAAGAGGAGAAAGAGAGGGAGAGAAAGAGAGAGTGAGAAGAGGGAGGGAAAGGGGAGAAGAGAAAAAGAGGAGAGAGAGAGAAAGAGAGGGGGAAAGAGAGGAGAGAGAGAAAGAAAGAGGGGAAGGGAAAGAGGAGAGAGAGGGGGAGAGAAAGAGAGAGGGAGAAGAGGGAGGGAAAGAGGGGAGAAGAGAAAAAGAGGAGAGAGAGAGAAAGAGAGAGAGGGGGAAAGAAAAAGAGAGATTTTCTTGTCATCCCATAGCTTGAAACCCACAAGACCCATGCTGTGTACAGACAACCCTCGAAAATTGTGCATTTCCTAGAATTGCCGCCCGAAAAGCCTCCTATCTGTGCCTCCCGTATTAGATCACCGATTTCAACCAGCGCCGGAATGAACGTCTCTCGTACGAAGGAGAGGAGTTGGACCAGGACCTGTGGAAATTGAAAAACCCAGACCTGGAACAAGAGTTGGAAGTGAGTTTTGGCGGAAAACGGCTCTGGCCTGGAGGTTGCCATTCCTTCCCAAAGAACGACAACAACAACAACACCTCTTCTGTGTGTGTGTGTGTGTGTGTGTGTGTGTGTGTGTGTGTGTGTGTGTCGGTCGCCCTTTCGCAGGTCCAGCTGAAATTAGAAGGAGGGATCGGCTTGTCTTTGGTCAACAAGGCCCCCGAGGAGCTGATCTTTGCGAGTTTCGTGGGCATCACCGTCCACTTCACCCAGCTGTCGGCCAGTCAGGTGCTGGAACTGAGCATACAGGACGTGCAGGTAAGTGAAAGGACAGGTGGCCTCACTATGCTCACCTGAGGACCGGTCCAAGGATGGGGTGCAGAGAAGGACAAGAGAGAGGATTAGCGGGCAGGAGGCCAAACCATGCAACGAACCGTTTAGGGAGCTACGTACGTCTAATCCAAGGGTCTCCAAACTTGGCAGGTTTAAGACTTGTGGGACTTCAACTCCCAGAATCCCTGAGCTAACCTGACTGGAGGAGGAATTCTGGGAGTTGGAAGTCCACAAGTCTTAAAGGGGCCAAGTTTGGAGAGCCCTGATATAGATAGATGATAGGTAGATAGATAGATAGATAGATAGATAGATAGATAGATAGATAGATAG